AAATACATGGCAAACACTGAATATCACAGAAGTGAGAATAACAGATGCTACTGTTGCTGTTTGTCCTTCATTTTTGAAGAGGACTATAACATCACGGAGGTGATGCCTGATGTGCAATTGAATTGGATTTGAGTGAAGGAGGGCTGTGCAAAGTCATCAGCCTCACTTTCACCTCCAGAGCCATCTGGGTCCAGTCGTCAGGTTTAATCAGGACAACTGGAGATGGCCCAGTATGCAGTGGGGGACCTTGGCCTTTTCAAGCTAATATTTTTAACAGATTTCAGTTTGACTGAGCCAATGAGAGCTAGAGTGATTTGGGGTTGCTAATGAAGAAGTCATTTCTAAATCAGGGCTATGAACTGAAGATAGACTTATTAGAACAAAACTTAAAATTAAACAAGAACATTAATGGTAGCACATAGTTCATGGTGGCTGCTGAGTAGTATACAGCTTTTTGAGTCTCTCTTATTTTTGGGGGGGAGGTTAGGCAATGGGGTTAAGTGACTTGCCCAGGGTCACACAGCTAATAAGTGTTATGTGTCTGAGGCCAGATTTGAGAGTCTCTCTTTTAGTTCCACATGGATACCCATGGCCAGAAAGCAGTTAGGTGGATTGAGAGCTGAGCAGGAACACCTGAATTCAAATCTGGCCTCAGACCCTTACTAGCTGTGTGTCCCTAGACAAGTCACTTAATTTCTGGGGTTTTTTTAGCCATTGGAGAAGGAAATGGCAAACCACTCCAGTATCTTTGACAAGAAAACCCTATGGACAGTGTGGTCACAAAGAGTCCCACACAACTGAACAACTGAACAGCAACAGCCCACGGCCAGGACTTCAAGGGAGTAACTTATATGAGGTGGAGTTCTGTCAAGTCTATGGAGCTATTGGCAATTTCCAAAAGAGTTGGGTTTTTTTTTCTTGATTGAAATATTTTATTTTTAAAATTTGTTTAATTGTAACATTAACATTAACATTGACATGAATTATCGGCTTAGTCTCAATTATGGGTAAGCACATAATGATTCTCCCTTTCAGTTAGAATATCCCTATTCCTCCCCAAACTTACCTACTTCTTTGAACCTCAGGAGGAGGATAACAAAGAGGAAGAAAGGGTCAGAAGGGTACTTGGCTAATAGATATCCCAATCCTAATCTTCCCAGAAATTAGGGATCAGAAATTTCTAAGCCACAGAATGGGATATTGCCTCAGCACTAACTACAAAATTGTGTACATTGTCCTTGCATAACAAGACACTTTAAGGTGGAAATTCAATGTGCAGCAGTTAAAATACCCAATGGCAATACTTTTTCCAATATACTTCCCATGAGAGTACTCTTTTAGTTTAATAATAGTCACTAAGGAAGTTTATCCAAGGTCTGTATACTTCTATAGACACTCCCCATTCTAGTCACATTGAACTGCTAAGTGTTGCCAGTAAACAAAACTCTGTCTCCCTCCTCTGGGCCTTTTGCACAGTATCCACCAGATTTTCAGCTATACCTCTTAGAATCCCCAGCTTCTTAGTTTCCATGTCCTTGATGGGGCCTTCCTTAACTCCATTTATTTCCTAGTTCCTTTCGCCCTCTTAAAGCCTCTTTATGTGACTTGGTTATTATTATTTACTTATTTGTTTAACTGTTATGCTGCCTCAGTAAGCTCTTTAAGGACTGAGACAATCATTTTTTGTCTTTGTATTCCTAGCACTTACCACAATGCCCAGTGCATAGTAGATGATTAAAAGCTTGTTGGATTGCATATTTCTAAAATATACAAAACAAGTAAACAAAAAATAACAACCTATAAAACTCTTATGCACTTTATTCTGACAGGCCAGTGTTGTTGTTGTTCAGTTGTATTCAACTCTTTGTGACCCCATTGGGGTTTTCTTGGCAAAGATACAGGAGTGGTTTGCCATTTCCTTCTCCAGCTCATTTTACAGAAGAGAAACTGAGATAACATAGGGTTAAGTGACTTGTCCAGGGTCACATAACTAGTAAACTTCTGAGGCCAGATTTGAACCTAGTCCTAGCATTCTATCCATTGTACCAACTAGCTGCCCAGTATTGGTATAATACAAGGCTATTTTTCTAATGGAAGACAAATAATAGGATTACTTTTATACCCTGACAAAAAGTCTGCTGGCATTCATAGTCTCAATAATGATTGTAGATGTAACTTACACAAAGGAAAAGATCTGAGCTTAGATATGTGTGTGTGTGTGTGTGTGTGTGTATATGATGTTTGGTACTTTTCAAATGAGAAGAACTGCTTTCCCTCTTTGGGAAACCTGTGATTTCTGGGCCTATAGCCACAAAAATTGTCTCCTATAATGTATTAAATGCTCCTCCTGGTTCCACTATCTTATTGCCTTGGTCCTTAGGATTCAATGGCAGGACAGAAGGAAAGACACAATAATCCTTAGGGTTCATTTGCAGGGCAGCTAGTATTCTCCATCTTAGCATTACTGTTGATTCCTTGATCATCAAATTATTTTGAGTAGCTATGTTTGTCTTTTATCTGAGAGGCTGGGGGGGTGGGGGTGGAGATGGGCTGGGCCCACAACCATTGGGAAAGGGAGGAGGGCTCCTAGGGACCTTGTACTCTCTGTACCCTCCAGTGATCAGTGGGATCTAGGTGGAGAGGGGGCTTGAGGGCTGCCTGAAGTATGGCATGCTCCATGCCATCCAGCAACACTGTGCTTATTATCCATAATGACCACTTTGAGGTATTGTAAAAATGTCCGTCATAAAACAAAAATTCGATTATTTTCACTATCACTATATATAGAAGTTTGTTTCTGTTGAATGCACCCTTGTGTTTTGTACTTAATATTTATTTTGTGTGTAGCAAATAAATACTTGTCCCATATTTTCCCCTCCTGTCTGTGCTTCTGACTCACTGCATTTCCCCTTTGCCCGGTACTTCTTCCTACTTCCCCCAGCCCTTATTATATGTCCTCTGGAACTGTAGTGGGTCATTGTGTTAATCAGAGTTCCTGTGTTTCAAAGTTCTGAGGATTCTACAGGCTTCATCAGACTGTCAAAGGGGCCCATGAACCTCAGCAGTCTAAAACAGAGGTGTCAAAACTCTGGGAAACCCATAATTTTTGGTTTTCTAGGTTAACAGGCAGACTACAGGAATTATTTCTCTTTGACTTTGATACCACTGATCTAAAAGGTTCACAAGTTCTGCTCAAATTTCTGCCCACCTCCATCATTAGTTACACCAGACAAGGATTTGCAGTCATACTTGATAATGAGTGGCCAAAAAAAAAAAACTTTTTCAGCATGTAAACAATATAAAGAAGCATTGGCCTCTTTTGGCTTGGAATGGGATTGGGGCAGAGAGAGGGATTGGAGCATCCGACCTTTGTTTTTTCCTATTTAACTGAGCTAGGAGTAGGTTGGGGTCAAGTGTGAAAGAAATCATGGAAATAGAAACGACAGAACTTGGTAACTGAATAGATGTATTCGAGATAAGAGGAAGCAGAATAAAAAGCCACTGGGAGACTGGGAGAAAGTACAGAACCTTGAGAGAGATACAGATTTAGGAGAAAAGATAATGAGTCCAGTTTTAAGCCCCTTTCCTCACTCTTTTGTTTGGCCAGGTTGGCCTCATCTCTGTTCATTTCACACAACATTCCATCTCTCTGCTTCTGTGTTTTTGTACTTGCCCCCATCCCTGGACTGCAATTCTTCCTTTCCTCTACCCTGCATAATCTATCTTCAAGACAAAACTCAAGCATTACTTTCTTCTACATGAAACCCTTCCATCAATTTTTAGTGCCCTCCTTCTTATGCTATCTTATGTTTAATTACTTTTTGTTATTTCTACTTGTTCTCTTGCATTAATTCTGTACATACTTTGTTGTTATTGAATTATATCCAACTGCATTTGGGGTTTTCATGGCAGAGATACTGGAGCAGTTTGCCATTTCCTTCTCTAGTTCATTTTACAGTTGAGGAAACTGAGGCAAACAGGATTAAGTGACTTGCTCAAGATGACACGGCTAATAAGTGCCAGGTCATATTTGTACTCAGGAAGATGAGTTTTCCTGACTCCAGGCCCACCACTGTGCCACCTAGTTCTGTACATACATACACACACATGAATCTTTGTCTCCTCCATTAGGATGCAAGCTCCTTGTGAGTAGGGATTATTTCATTTATTGTATTTGAATCCCCAGTGCCTATCACAGTTCCTGGCACATGGTAGGTGTTTTAATAAGTGACTGAGTGATTGCTAGGCATGTTGATGCTAGCATGAACTCTTCTAGATAGAAGCAGGCAATTGGAAATAAAGGATCAGAGCTCTTGGGAGAAGGTCCGAGTACGGGATATTGATTTTGAATTCATGGAGGTAATAATTGAAGCCATGGCAATTGAAGTGGTGGGGGGCGGGGAGAGAGAGAGAGAAAATCAACTAGAATAAGGAATTCATAAATAGGCACTAGCTGCATGATCTTGAATAAGGGAGAGGGTACTCTAAAGGCCCATTTAGCTCTCAAAAACTTATGATTCTATGACTCACTAACAAGTCTAGAACTACCTCGTCATCATTCATTGGTGCACATTCTTTATCTAGAATTATATCTTACTCTGCATTCTCCTTAACTAACAACCTGACTTTGGGGGTGGTTATCCAGACACTCTGGGCCTCATTTTCCTCAGCAGTAAAATGAGTATGGTTGCATGGAATTAGAATTAGTGTTGACTAGCTCAGCTAAAAAGTCTGCTGCTCTGGGCTTTGGTTAAGGAGAACTGCATCATACATGCAGCCCATTCTTGTAGATGTGGTGTTTTATATTTTTAAAACTGACAAATTTCACTTGAAATTTTAGAAAACCTCGTGGAAGCGTGAGCTGTGCGGGGCGTGGTCTGCAGGGGGGCGTGGTCTGCAGGGGTGGGGGAGGAGCGAAGAATGGGCGCGAACCGGCACCTTCGCTCCGCACCAGCCGCAGCGAGAGAGGAGGAAAAGGAACTGGACTTGTCGGAACTACTTCCTGTCTTGCTGCCGGAAGTGGCCTTCGGTACGGTTTCTCCTTAGAGGGGAAAATGGCGCTCGACGTTCGGGGGATGGAAGACGGCGAGCTCTCCGAGTCGGATTCTGACATGGCGGACACGGTAAGGAATAGCGAGCAGCCCTTGCGGTCCCCGCGGCTGGGGAGGCTGGGGAGTGGGGCGCGGCACCCTGTCACCCCCGCCTCGCTCCGGGCCGGCGCGGGTAGAACCGGGCCCCGGGGACTCCGCGCGCCAGTCAATGAACGGGCGTTTGTTCCGCGGACAAGCGGCGCCGTGCGAGCCGGCCTTTGAGTCGGGGAGATGTTACTGCACGTCCCAACGCCCTGGCTGGGCGGGGGGGGGTCCTTAACCCCCCAGTACTGCGGGCAGCTCTGCTAGACTCCAGTTTGCAGAAAGGATGCCGAGCTACATCAGTGGAGTGACTCTCCTCTTCTGGGTGTTAACCTCCACTGGCGAAATCACAGATCCACTCCTGAGCCTTTACAGGCCCTCGGGAGCTTATCGACAGGGTTAACTTTTCTACGCCACACATTTTAGCCCTTAATTTGTACTGTTTGATGTCTTAGTTCCTGAACTAAATAGTAGAAGGCTCTTGGGAATGTGGAGAGAGATGTACATCTGCAGCTCAGACAAATGACATAAGTAAAGAAATTCTGTATAGTTGCTGTTTCTTATTAAATAATTTGTGCTAAACACAAAATCCAGTTTATGCCTTTTATCAGGTATTTTACTGACATGGATTAGTAAAGTTTTAGTGTGGGGTTTTTCTAAGGCTTCACAAGATGGTCAGACAAGTTTAATCAGTGATTATATAAAGCTCATGCCCTCTCACGGATGTCACAGCATTAAATGTAGTATGGTCAGGATCGCTGTCCTCTAGGCATTTTCCATCTAATACAGAAACGACCACAGACTAGCCTAAAGGGAACTGTTTTAAACACAAAAGAGAAGGATTTCCAAGAGAAAGGTTAGTTCTAATGGCTGTTATCTAGCCTTTCATTTTCAAATATACTAGCAGCAATTTAAGAAAATCTATTGCAAGAATTCACGTTAGAGCCTACAAGCCCAGATTATAATTCTGTGTTATGGTGGTGGTTTTTGTTGAGGAGGAAATGTTATTAATGAAACATATTGCTGAGGTGGTAGTGTTTTTTTTTTAATTGTCAAATTCCATATGAAATTTTTGGAAACTAGAAAATAGTTTGGACACAGGACTTCATTTGAAATCTAGTGCTGTTTTAGAGTGGGCTAGGTTTGATTTAACTGTGGGCTTATTTTCTTTTAAAAAATGGTAATGCTAATGTGGTAGGATTTGGGCAGGGAATTAACCTTTTATGAAGTTGATTATGTTTTATTCATTTACAGAAAGTACCAGATGGCAATATATCATTCAGGCCTTTCCAGAGCAGCATTGCAGTCTCTCCAGTATCACATTATCGAACTATTAAGGGCGTAGAATCAAGTGAGGAAAGCTTTTCTGATTCCGACGATGACAGCTGTCTTTGGAAACGAAAGAGACAGAAATGTTTTAATCCTCTTCCCAAACCGGAGCCTTTTCAGTTTGTACAGAACAATCAGAAACAGCATATTCTGGGAGGGAGGAAGATTAACAACATATGGGGTGCAGTGCTACAGGAACAGAGTCAAGATGCAGTGGCTAATGAACTTGGTATACTGGGAATGGAGGGCAACATTGACAAAAGCAGACAGTCAGAGACTTACAATTATTTGCTGGCTAAGAAGATAATGAGGGAATCGAAAACCGAAAAACTAGATAAAGAGTTAGATGAATATATGCATGATGACAAAAAAGCCGGTCCTAAAGAAGAAGAAAATGGACAAGGTCATATGAAACGGAAACGACCTATCAAAGACAGACTAGGAAACAGATTAGAAATGAACTATAAAGGTCGATATGAGATTACAGAAGAGGATCCTGAAGAAAAAGTAGCAGATGAAATTTCTTTCAGGTAAGTCCTTAACTAGCTATCACGCCCTTCACATTAGTCTGATCGATTGTCTCATCCCTAAGTTTTCTCTTTAGCAAAATGTCCCTAATATAAAGCGTATGTATAGTTGTTCAGTCTTCATGACCCTGTTTGGGATTTTCTTGGCAAAGATACTGGAGTGTTTGCCATTTCCTTCTCCACCTTATTTTACAAATGAGATAGAGGCAAACCAAGGTTAAGTGACTTGCCCAGGGTCCCATAGCTAGTAAATGTGTGAGGCCCAATTTGAACTCTGGTCTTCCTTACTCCAAGGCTTGCATTCTATCACAGAGCCACTTAGCTGCCCAAGTGTGTATAGTTAGCATTTTGCTTTAGGATTTTAAGTGACTTTGCATTAAATAAGTGAACTCTAATTATATGTCTCTATAGGAACATGATTGTGTGTTATTATTTTTTAAACTTGATGTTAAGGGAAGACATGGCAGGAACTTGAAAGTAATGTGCATAAATTTGAACAGGATCCTGTGGAACAATTTGTCAGACTTTCAATTCAGTAAGTTTGATTGTGTATTTGCTTATCAATATACAACAAAAGGTTATAAAAATAGTTAGATTTAAGTTTTCTATCTCTTTTGTATCCTAAGGCCTCTTCTCTTTTCCCTCAGTACTATCTTTTTTGTTATCACTCCCTTTCATTCAATTATCATCTCTTTGTAGATGTTTCCTACATCTGTACACACACACACACACACACACACACACACACACGCACGCGCACATGCCCTCACATTCAAATTCTATACACTTTATATGTAGCACATCCCCAGTCTCTCTTGAATGCCAGTCTCATATAGTCTGGTGCCCTCTTGGACCAGATATCCTGTAGGCATCTCAAATTTAACATATCCAAAATGGAATTTTTCTCCCAAACTCCCTTTTTCCTAATTTCCTTATTACTGTTGATGGTACCACCACCCTATTCACTCAGCTGAGAAAGTTCAGTGTCATTCTTAATTCCTCATATTTCACGGAGCCATTCTGTTGCTCTATCTTGTCATTTCTACCTCTACCACATCTCTAGTGTACATGCACTACTCACGCAACTACTGCCCTTACTACCTTTTGCCTGAACTGTCAGTAGCTTTCTAAGTGCTCTCCCTCTTCCCTCTGCTCAACTGCCCAAGTGATTTTCCTAAAATGTAGGTTTGTCCATATCACCTTTCTACTCGTTAAACTACAGTGATTTCCTGTTAGCTCTAGAATCACCTTCAAATCCAGTCTGCCTAATAAAAGTTCTTCAAAACCTAGTCCCTCTGTACTTTCCCTGTCATCTTACACTTTTTCCATGCACTTGCTGTGTTAATCTACTTGCTGCTCCTCACTCGTGACACTATCTCTCTGGGCCTTTCTACTTGGCCACCATTTCTGGAATTCTCCCTTTCCCTAACCTCTTCCTCCAAGTTTTTTTTCCTGGCTTCCTTCGTCACAGCTTAAATGCCATCTTCAGCAAGAGGGCTTTCCTAGTGTCCCCAGTTCCTCATTAAAATAAGCCCACCATATTATAATGACAATATTCATTTTCTCATTGTTAAACCAGTCAGAGTCAATTTCTACCTGTCAAAGACAACCCCTTCTCCAAAGGTATTTAAGCATTCAGGGCCTCCAAGGTTTGTCTTTGGCTTCCAAGAGGGCCATTGACCTATTTTTATTGATTATTTGCTAGCCATAATTAATAAATTGATATTAATTACCCAGAAACTATGTGTCTCAGACTTTTCATTTGTCATAATTCCAAACTTGATCGAGAGTAAGAAAAAAAGTGTTAGGAGTATGATTGCTTCTCAGGGGTGAGGAACCTGTGGCCTATAGGCCACAGGTTCTCCACTCCTTCATTTGTCAGTTTTCAGTGGTAGTACTAGTTTTAAAAAATTAGAATACTGGGGAGAAATTGGTAGTAGAGATAGAATCATAAAATTTTAGAGCTAAAGATTATGTGAAATAACTTCATTTTACAGCTGCCCCAAGATGTTATGTTATTGTTTGAGATTTTAGAAATATTCCAATTTCTTTGCATATGTGGCTTGGAAAGTTAATATTTGTGCTTATTTTTAAATACTTTTAAGAAAATATGCACCCTTTGACCCAGCAATACCAAGTCTAGGGCTGTATCCCAAAGAGGTCATAAAAATGGGAAAAGGACCCACATGTACAAAAATATTTATAGCAGTTCTCTCTGTGGTGGCAAAGAATTGGAAATTGAAGGGATGCTCATCAACTGGGGAATGGCTGAACAAGTTATGGTATATGAATGTAATGGAATACTATTGGGCTATAAGAAATGATGAGCTGGAAGACTTCAGAAAAACCTGGAAAGGCTTGTATGGACTGATTCTGAGTGAAGTGAGCAGAATCAGAACATTGTACACAGTAACAGCCATGTTGTTCCATGACTGACTTTGATAGACTTGGCTCTTAGCAATGCAAGAATCTAAGACAGCTCCAAAAGACTCACAATGGAAAATGCTATTCACATCCAGAAAAAGAACCATGGAGGCTGAATGCAGATGGAAGCCTACTATGTGCTATCCTTTTCCTTTGTTGTTTTATTTTATTTCTTCTTTCTCCCATTAGTTCTAATTCTATATATCATGACTAATGTGAAAATGTGCTTAATATGAATATATAAGTAGAGCCTATATCAGATTACACACCATCTTGGGGTGGGGGAGAAAATTTAAAATTCAAAATCTTACGGAAGTGAATGTTGAAAACTAAAGATAAGTATTTTTTAAAAAAAGGAAAATACACAATATGACTCTAGAAAACTTCTGATGAAGAATGCTACCCACCTCCTGACATAGGTGATAGACTAAAATTAGCAAAATGAAATATACATTGTTGGACATGGTCAATATAAGACTTTGTTTTGTTTGATCTGCTTATTTGTTACAAGTTATTTTTTTCTTTCTACAGTGCTAAGGGGGTGTTGTGGGAGAGAGAGAAAAATGCTTGATAATTGAAAAAATTAATTTAAAATGAGACAGTATATGCAAGATAATTCTCTGTGAGTTCATGTACAGGAGAATTTTTTTTCGACCATTATAAAACAAACAGTAAGGTTAATATTACTTTATGTGCTCCTTTTGTAGGCTTCAGGAACCAAAGAAAGATCTGATAGCCCGAGTAGTAAGAATAATTGGAAACAAAAAAGCAATTGAGCTTCTGATGGAAACTGCAGAAGTTGAACAAAATGGTGGGCTTTTAATAATGGTAAGATAAACGGTCTACTTTTGTCTTTGTTTTTCTATTGCTTGGACAAACTTTGCCTCCAGTTATTTATTTACCATTGATGTGGAATTCACTTTAGAATTAGTACTAGGTCACTTTAGGTAAAATTAAAACTGGTCAAAGTGTTAAATGTTGCAGAGAGGATATGGATTAAGAAAAGGTTGGATTTCACAAGAGATCACATAACTTTTGAGAGGGCAGTTTCAGTTGAGTGCTGAGATCAGAAGCCAGATTGAAAGGGTTTGAAAAAATGGGTGAGAGTAAGTGGAGACAATGAGCATAGATGGCTTTTTCTAGAAATTTGGTGGTAAAAGAGAAAAAAGAAAGGACTATTTCTACCAGGGATGGTAGGATTCAGTAAGGTTTTTGTTGTTGTTGTTGTCTTGTTTTGTGTTTTTTTGGTAATGGTAGTAGGAAAGTGATTCTTAAAATATCTTTCCTTGATCTGTTTTCTAGGTCATTTGTTTTTACTATGAGATACCTTGAATTTTCTTTTGGCTTTCTCTAAGCATTTCTTAACTGTTTCATAGTTACTGGCTTCTATTTGGTCCATTTTAATTTTCAGGGAGTATTTTTTGTTTCTTAGATAAGGTTTTGTACCTCTTATTCCAAGATATGACTTTTCTTTCCAAATTTTTCTTCCATAGCTCTTTTCCCCCATTCTTTCCTCTAGTTCTCTTGTTTTTTTAAAAGAATTTTTTAGTTTTTTGTTTGTTTGTTTGTTTAACTTCCTTCATCTCTTCCAAGAGTTCTGGTTGAATTTGTGCCTAACTTGTATTTTTCTTTGAGATTTTGCCGGTAAATATTTAGGAGTCCTCTTTTTGGGGCTTTGTATGTTGAGCGTACCTATCACCATAATACTGCTTTATAAAAGAAGGAAACAAACTTTTATTAAGTTTCTACTCTGTGCCAGGTGCTATTACAGATATCTCATTTAATCTTCACAACCACCCTGTGAAGTAGATGCTGTTATCATCCCCATTTTACAGTTGAGGAAACTGAGACGGGCAGGTTAAGTGGTTTGCCCAGGGTCACATAGGTAGTAAGTGACTGAAGCCATGTTTGAACTCAGGATTTCCTGACCTGGCTGTGATGGCATTCTTTTTTTTTTTCCTTCGCTTATTCTATTAGCCTACTTATTTACTTTGGAGTGGGCTCCGCATGCTTTAATGGGAATATGTAGACTTACTTTTGTCCTCTTGGACCAAAAAAAAAAAGCTTTCTTGGGCTATTGAATGTTCTGTTATTCTAGGATTTTAAGGACAGGTCAGGCTAAGAACCTGAAAACTTTTGCAAGCCAGACCAAGTTGGGTCACTGCCCTTTTGGTCTATGAGCCTGACCTCTATTTGAGTCTCAGCAACACTCCATTGAGCAGTCTGTGTTTGGAAAAATTCTGGTAGACAACTTCTGGACTCAGCTGAGAAGCTCTGTTCAGAGCAATAGAACTCTTAAGTTCTTTTTTGATCTAGTATTCCTGCCTTGATTATTGCACTGCAGGCTTCAAACTGGACTGGAGGCTGGAACTGATAATTTTACTCTGTTCCTGGTGTCAGAGCTACATACTAACTGCCTGTTTTTGAAATTGTTGCTCACTCAGTACATTGCCCAGTACCCGAAACTACTCCTTACCCTAGAACCATCAATTTTGGGCACAGATGTTCTCCTCAGTCTGCCCTGGGTCAGTGACCCAGAACTAGAGATTAAATGAAAAGGCTATCAGTCAGCACTTGTTCCCATACCTTTATGAGGTTTTGATGCCCTGAGCTGTTTAACCTCTTCTTTCAGTCGCTGTTTGAAGAATATTCTATTTCTGGCCAGACTCTGTCCCCAGTTTCATCAAGTCTTCTGTCTCCCTAAGCCAATCTGGGCTAAAAAAATGAGTCACTGTGATTTTATTCTTAGATTTCTGGATCAGTACTTAGTTTGGGGGTTTTTTCTAGATCTTTGTGGAGGAAGTATGCTGCAAGAGCTACGCTATCCTTCATGCTACTCTATCTTGACGCCTGCTTTTGTTTCTTTAATAATGTTTTCTTTTAGTGTATTCATTTGATTTATAAAAATCATTTTTAAAAATTTTCAAACTTTTGCTTCATCTCTTCTAGGAATTTTAATTTAACTTTTACTCATGATGTGTTTTTCTTTGAGGTTTTGATTGTAGATGATTTGGAGTCATTTTCTTCTTTTGGGTTGATGTCTTAAGCACCACTGTCACCATTATTGCTCTTTATGGTAGTATTCTTTTTTTATTTGCTCATTCTTCCAGCCTACTTCCTGCAGACTGGGTTCTGCACACTTGTAGAGGAAATATCTGGGCTGGATTTGTGTGCCCTTGGTTTATGCTGTTTCATTCAGTTGGTCAGTCAGTAAAAATTAAGTGGTTGGAATAGATGTGGGAAAATTGGAACACTAATGCATTTTTTGGTGGAGTTATGAAATGATACAACTGTTTTGGATAACAATTTGGAACTATGCCCAAAGGGCTATAAAAATGTGCATACCCTTTGATCCAGCAATGGCACTTCTAGGGCTGTATCCCAAAGAGATCATAAAAATGGGAAGAGGACCCACATGTACAAAAATACTTATAGCAGCTCTTTCTGTGGTGGCAAAGAATTAGAAATTGAGAGGATGCCCATCAGTTGGGGAATGGCTGAGCAAGTTGTGGTATATGAATGTAATGGAATACTATTGTGCTATAAGAAATGACGAGCTGGAGGACTTCAGAAAAACCTGGAAGGACTTGTATGGTCTGATGGTGAGTGAAGTGAGCAGAACCAGGAGAATTTGTACACAGTAACAGCCACGTTGTGTGATAACTAATTTTGATAGACTTAGCTCTACTCAGCAATGCAAGGATCTAAGACATATCCAAAAGTCTCATGATGGAAAATGCTATCCACACCCAGAGAAAGAACTATGGAGTTTGAATGCAGTTCGGAGCATACTATTTGCTCCTTTTTTTTTTCTTGTTTGTTTTGTTTCTTCTTTCTTGTGGTTCCTCCTATTGGTTCGAATTCTTCTTTACAACGTGACCAATGTGAAAACATGTTTAGTAGGAATGTATGTGTACAGCCTATATCAGATTGCATGCCTTTTGGGGAGGGAGGGGGAGAAAATTTAAAACTCAAAATCTTATGGAAGTGATTGTTGAAAACTAAAAATAAATTAATTATAAAAAAAGAAAAAAAATGTATTAAGTGCCCAGCACTGTACTAAATACTTGGGATTCAAAAAAAGTTGAGAGACAGTCCCTGCTCTGAAAGAAAACATGAAACAATTATACAAACAAGCCATATAGAAGACAAATTGGATAAAATCGATAGAGGGAAGGCATTGGAATTAAGGGGAATTGGAAAAGGGTTTTTTTAGATATATATAGATATATATCTATATCTAGATATATAAGGTGGGATTTTAGCTGAGACTTAAAGGAAACCAGAGAAATGAGGAGGCGGAAATGATGAGAAAATTCTAGCCAGTAAAAAAATGTTTGGAGTTGGAAGAGTGTTTTGTGTAAGAAAGCCACTGTCACTGGATTGAGGAATAAGTGGTGGGGAATAAGGTATTAGAAGACTGGAAAGATAAAGGGGTAGGGGCAGGTCATAAAGGGCTTTGAATGCCAAACAGCATTTTATATTTGATCTTAGAGGTAATGGGGAACCACTGGAGCTTATTGAATGGTGAGGGAAGAGCAGTGATACTTAGGAAGATCACTTTGGCAAATGAGTAGAGGATAGGCTTTAGAGAGGAAAGATTTATGGCAGGAAAACCATTCAGCAGGCTATTACAGTAGTTCAGCAATGAGGTGATGAGAGCCTGGGCTAAGATAGTGGCCATGTCTGAGAAGAGAGTATATTTGAAAGACATTACAAAGCTAAAATCAGCAGGCCTTGGCAGCAGATTGGATATAGAAAGTGAGAGTAATCAAGGATGACACCTAGATTGTCCACCTAGTTGACTGGGAGGCTGGTGGTACCTTCAGCAGTAATGGCAGAAGTGGTTGTTTGTCCTTTGTTATTGAAGAGGACATGACATCCAGAGGTGGTGTCATGTGGGAGTGAATTAGATTTAAGTGAGAGAGGGCTGTGCAAAGTCACCAGCCTTACTTTCTCCTCTAGAGCCATCTGGGTCCAGTGGCCCAGATACACACAGGACAACTGAAGAAGGCTCAGGATGTACCTTGGCCTTTTAAAACTAAGGTCTTTAAGATATCTCAGTTTGACTTTGGCAGTGCCCATCAGTGATTAAAGCTTAATAAAAGAGGCAAAAAATGGCCTCTTTAACCTAGTCCCTGAAAAAAAAAAACTGGGAGGGGAAGAGCCTGAGGGTTTTTGGCCAAAACAGAAACAATTCCTATTTACTTTCACTGAGTCAATGGGGGCCCAAACAATGACCAAACAGACTTGGAATACTAATAGGGAAGTTAGAACTCCATGGGAACTGATGAGATCACCAGGTGAAATAGTATAGAGGCAATAGAAAAGACACCCCAGGAAGGGGCCTTGAGAGACTCCCCTGGTTAGTGGACCTGACATGGATGATGATCTGACAAGGGAAACTGAAGAAGAGGACTGTCATACAGATAGGAGGCAAACCAGGAGAGAGTACTGTTCCAAAAACCTAGAAAGAAAGTATCAAAGAGAACAAGATAATCAGCAGTGTCAAGGCTACTGAGAGGTCAAGAAGAATGAAGATTGAGGAACTCAGTGATAGGGGAGACAACATGCAAAGAGCTATGTATAAATGAATACATACAGGGTAAATTGGGGGGAACCTCCAAGGGGAAGACACAAAGATTAAGGAGGACTGAGAAAGACTTTTTAGAGAAACTTCCACTTCTGGGAGCCAAGATGGCGGAGTAAAAAGGTAGTCCCTCTCACCCTTCCCTATCAACCTCTGAAAACCCAGAAAATATCACCCTAGGAAAAAAAAAAACAAACCTGGAACAGCTGAACTAGAAGAAAGATGGGAAACAGCAGTGCAGCAGCCCAGCAAACGGGTCTCCCAGTGCCTCAGCAAAAATAAGGGAAGCAGCACTACAAAGGGCCCCAGGCAGATAAGCACCCTGCAGCATTCATCTGAAAGGAGCTGAAGAAAGCAGCCTAGAGTCTTCCTAAAGTCCCAGCCTTGCTGATTCCAACCCAACACCAGGTAAGCTGTCAGAACCGTACAGCCCAACTGTCAACCAGGAGGAGATCCTGATGCCCGGGTGGTAGAGCAGGCAAACACCAACACCTGGACCTCCCAGTGCCTCAGTGAGGGTGGGGGAACCAGTGGAAACCAGCTCAGAAAACCACCAGGTGCCTCAGTACTGTACCACAAAGGAATCTCCCAGTACATTAGCAGAAATGAGGGAGGCAGCATTGCAAGGGGCCCCAGGCAGATAAACACCGTGCAGCACCCATCTAAAAGGAGCTGAAGAAAGCTAAAGGAAAGGAAAAGCAAGCAACCTAGAATTGCCTGAAAGTTCCAGCCTTGCTGATTCCAGCCCAACACGAGGTAAGCTGCCAAAATCCTACAGCCTCCAATTGCCAACATAAGAAGCCCCAACACACAAAGCCAATGACCAAGACCTAGGCTCTCAACACAAGAAGCTTGGGTCAGTGCCCTCTGTTCCACAGCAGGAGAGCTCAATCTCTTTAAAGGCCGGGGAATAAAGAAACCATGGGTAAAAAGAAACGTACTATAGATTCCTCTTATGAGAAGAGTGGCGATCAAGACAGAAATTCTGATGAGGACAACATTGTCAACAAACCCACATCTGCAACATCAAAAGGGACAAGTCCCTAAAAAACACAATTGGCAAACTGGAAAAAAAGCACACAGAAGAAAACAAATCCCCTTAAAAATACAATTGGCCAATTGAAGAAGGAAGTACAAAAACTAACAGAAGAAAACAATCTGTTAAAAACTAGAATTAGACAAATGGAAACTAATGACTCTATGAGAGAGCAAGAATCAGTCAGACAGAAACAAAAAAAAATGAAAAAATGGATGAAAACATAAAATGCCTCATCGGTAAAACAACCGACCTGAAAATCGATCCAGGAGAGACAATTTAAAAATCATTGGACCACCTGAAAATCATGATTGAAAAAAAAAACCTGGACAGTATCTTTCAGGAAATCATAAAGGAAAACTGCCTGGAAGTCCTAGAAACCAGAAGGGAAGATAACCATAGAAAGAATCCACAGCTCACCACCTGAAAGAGATCCCAAATTGACAACGCCAAGGAATATAATAGCAAAATTCCAAAATTACCAGATGAAAGAGAAGGTGCTGCAAGCAGCCAGAAAGAAACAATTTAAATATCATGGAACTACAGTCAGGATTACACAGGATTTTGCAGCTTCTACATTAAAAGACCACAGGATGTAGAATATGATATTCCATAAGGCAAAGGAGCTTGGATTGTAGCCAAGGATCAACTACCCTGCAGAAAGAGCGTGATTTTTCAAGGGAGGAGATGGATATTCAACGAAATAGGGGATTTCCAAACCTTCTTCATAAAAAGACCAGAGCTCAACAAAAAATTTGATCTTCAAGTACAAGATTCAAGAAAGACATAAAAAGGTAAATGGGACAGAAAGATACAAAATGTTGTTAATAAGGGCGGACTGTTTACATCCCTACAAGGGAAGATGACACTTGCAACTCTTGAGAACTGTATTGTTATCACACCATGTTAAAGGAGTATACATAATGATAAAAAAAAATCTAATCAAGTGGGTTAAATGGATCCAAGTAAGTGGATTCATGTGATCTAAGCAAATATACTGAGAAAGGAGGAGGCAGACAAGAGTAAATTACAGGAAAAGACAGAAAATCCTATTACAGCAGAGGGAAGGGGGGGTGAGCATTGTTTGAACCTTGCTCTCATCAGATTTGGCTCAAGAAGGGAATAACTAGTCAGGTATGGAAATCTAACTTGCCCCATGGGCAGTAGGAGGGAAAAGGGGAAAGAAAAGGGAGGGGGAATGGAAGCGGGCAAAGGGGAAGAGGGAGGAGGGGGATAATAGAAGGGAGGAGAGACTGAAGGAGGCGGTAGTCAAAAGCAAAGTACTAGTGGGGGGGCAGGGAGAGAGGAGAAAGAAAAGCATAAATGGGGAAAAAAGGATGGAGAAAAAGCCGCAGATAGTAATCATAACTGTGAAAGCTGAATCGCTGTCTTTTTTTTTTCACATCTGTTGAGTTTTGTTTCCTCTTTCTGATGGTTACTCCTATTGGTTTTAATTTTTATTTACAATTTCATTAACATGAAAATATGTTTAATAGAAATGTAAATGTATAGCCTATATCAGATTGTGCACCGTCTTGGGGAGGAAGGTGTAGAAAAATTTTAAATTCAAAAGCTGATGGAAGAGATTGTTGATAAATCAAAATAAATGTTAAAAAAATTTTTTTAAAAAAGAATGAAGATTGAGAAAAGACCATTGGATTTGGCAATCAAGAGATCTCTGGTAACTTTAGAGAGAGTTTTGATGGAATGATGAACTCAAAAATTGGATTATAAGGGAGTAAGAGGAGAGTGAGAGAGAAGAAAAGAGAAACTGGAGGCAGCTATTGTAGAGAACCTTTTCAAGAAGTTTAGCCACAAAGGGCAGAAGAGAAATAGGAGAATACTGTGGATATAAGGATTAAATGAGGATTTTTTGAGGATGGAGACTCAAGGAGCTCAAGACACATGGGACTCAAGAGGACAGTACAGCCAGAACAGGTTCACTAAGGGGTCAAAATGAGGGGAAAAGTGTGGCTAGTGTAGGAATATAAAAGAACTACCTTTTCGCAATGATAGCCCAGTTGAGATTATGTATCATGAAGTTATATTGGACCCAGTCAGCATGGTTTCATGATTTTCTCCAGCTTCATTCATCAGGGTAATAGGAACAAAAGCAGTGGAAGGTGGGAGTAATCCAAGGCTGGGCTTTGGCAAGACAAGGTCTTCTGATAGGATAAAGGGGCAAGGGACTTGAGAAGAATACATTGTAGAATTGACCTGACTCACCAAGGGTCAAGATGAAGGGAAAAGAGTATAGTTAGTATAAGACAGGTGTTCTAGGAAAGACAGGGGCTAAGGAATTGGAGGTTTCTGTGCATACAAAGAGCAGGGTTTAGAGTTGCAAGGCAGAGAGTGAGATGGAATGGCAAGACATTGTGATCAGATAAGGGAATTTAATAAAGTGTGGTACATTTGTCGGTGATGACAAAATCAATGGTATAACAATCTTTTTGTGTTCCTGAGTTGAAGTGGAGGAGTAGATCATTGGAAATGAATATGTTAAGTAATAAGGAGCTAAGTGTGTTTGATGAAGTAACAGTACATATATTGAAACCTTTTAGTATCAGGGCAGAGTTGGGGAAGAGAGGAAGACTGAGGAAGAAGGAGAGTATAATGAAAGTCAGTAAACAGTGGGGTGTGAGTGAGGGTACAACCAGTGCCAGAAGGAGTGGCCAGGGAGACTGGTTCATCAGGAGGGAGTCAGATCTCAATGAGAGCCAGAAGATACCAGTCTTCTGGTTTCCCTGGCTTCCTTCAAGTTTAAGTTAAAGTGCCATCTTCTGAAAGAAGCTTTTCCCAGTCCCCTTTAATCTTAGTGTCTTAATTCTATGACTGACCCAAATTTATCTGTATATATCTAGTCTGTATGTACTTGTTTGTTGTGAGCAGGGACAACAGCCTTTTACCTTTCTTTGTATCCCCAAGCTCTTTGCGCAGTTCCTGGCACATAGTGGCTACTTAATAAATACTGATTGACTTCCAGGAACTTACTCTGAAATTGAGAAACAAAATTAACAGTGAAGAAATAATTAGGGAGTAATTAAGTACTAAACTGTATAGAATCCTGTCAGCAGCACAAGAAGGGAATAAGCGTTCATATTGCACCAGTGTCAGGCACTGTGATAAACACTTAACAAATATTATCTGGTTTGATCCTCACAACAACCCTTCGGGGTAGGTAATGTTGTTATTCCCATTTTACAGATTAGGAAACAGGTTAAGTGGCTAAGGTCACATACCCAGGAAATGTCTAAGATCAGATCTGAACTCAGGTTTTCCTGACTTCAGGCCCAGTGTTGTATCCACCGGATCACCTAAATGCCTTAAAATACAGCATATAGTACATTATACTTCTCATATTCCTTTTTTAGAATGGTAGCAGAAGAAGAACACCAGGTGGAGTGTATCTGAATCTTCTGAAAAACACACCAAGCATCACTGAGGGACAGATTAAGGTAAAAATTATAATTCTCTGTGTGGAGTTCAAGTCTCTCCATTGTTTGCTTGACCCTTCCTATCCACATTTAATTCCCACTACTCCCTCAGACCTGCTCTTTCCTGCCTCTATTTCCGTTTTCCTCTCCACTACCTCTGGAAAACCCAGCAGTCCTCTAACCCTAATTTATGTCATCTCACATGTTAGTTATCTCTTCTCACCTTCATTTCATTTCCAAATCTGATAAGTATGTGTTTATGCCTCCATTCAAGTCATTGACAAAAGTGTTTAAAAGGATGACTGCCTGGGATGTTTCATTAAAAACCTGAGTCCAAGTTTATGTTTTTAATGACTACTCTTTGGGTCTGATCATTCACCTGGTTCTAAATACACCAAAATATTTTATTACTTTGCCTCGATGTCTCTATTTTGTCCACAAGGATATCATGAGAGACTTTGTTAAATACTTTGCTGAAATCTAGGTATATTAAGTCTAAGCGTCTTCCCTGAACTACCTGTCAGTAATCCTTTCAAAAAAGGAAAGTAGGTAAGTTTGGTATCATAGCTTGTTCTTGATACATTTGGTTCTTAATGATTATCTGCTTCTCTTTTTAAATATTCATACCATTCCTTTAATATAATACATTTTAAAAATTTGCTAGGAGTTTTAAGTCATCTTCACCAGTTTGAAGACTCATGTTTTTGGCCATCTCCAATCTTACAGTATGTCTCCCATTCTTCATGTTTTTTCAGGGATCACTTACAGTGGCTCTCACTAATCCAATTCTTTTAGTACTCCAGGATAGTTCTGGGCCTGATGACTTTTATTTTATCTTCCTCATTTGCTATGAATTTCAACTCCCAGATAATCTTCCCAGTTCCAAAAATAGTTCTTTGAAAAGGGGTGGAGGGTGATGGACAAAATAAGAGTTGTCCTGACTTCATTGATCTTACTGTTAACCTCTAGCACAGCTAAAAAGTTTTTAATGGGTCTTTTTGTTGTTGTTTTCTTGCTATTTTTAGCATTTTTCACCACCTTCAATTCATGCTCTTAGTTTTTAATATTTTTGTAATAACTTCAGGTAATGGTTTTGTTTTGGTTTTTACAATGAATTCTCTCAATGGAGCATATATATCTCCCTTATTTATACAGATATATTGTCATTTTTCACAGCAATGAAATTTTTCCCTATAATAAGTATATTTGATCATTGCCACGTTTTATTCAAGGTATAATTGAAAAGAAGTCTCAGAATGGCAATGCTGTGTGACTTATATATTGGAATTTCTAAATAACTAAAACTATAGATTACCTCTAGACTTTCATTTTTGTTGATTGATAATGTTAAAGAGTTTAGTTGTCTTAAAATTTTAAATCAGTGGTGCTTCCCTCTTCATTTTTCTATTTAGAAATCTATTACGACTAGAAAAATAATATGTTTTAATAAAGTTCATGTGTCTTTTTTAAAGGAAATTTTCTATGTTGAAAACCAAAAGGAGTATGAAAATAAAAAAGCTGCTAAGAAAAGGAGAATACAAGTCTTGGGGAAAAAGATGAAGCAGGCTATTAAAGGTCTTAATCTTCAAGAATATGATGATGCATCTCGAGAAACTTTTGCAAGTGACACAAATGAGGCATTGGCTTCTCTGGATGATTCCCAGGAAGGAAATGGAGAAAGAAAGTTAGATGCAGAAGAAACCTTTGAGATTGATCATTCTCTTGATTTGGAGGTCTTTTAATAACATCTTCAATATCTAGGGGAATAAATTTTTCTTAAAAATATTGAAATGAACCTTTTTAATTACACTTTGACTACTTCTTTTGTTTGCCTTTGCACATGTTACCTGACAAAAAGCATTTGTTTCTGTTTTGAAGAACTCTGTATGTGGAAGATGAACCTAATAGAAATGTTATCTGTTGGTTTTTAAGAAACCTGTCTTGTCTGGCTAAATAAAAACTTGCTAAGTGTGTTGAAGTCATATTTCTTTTATCAGTCTACTGCATGTGATAAACTATAGACAAAAATACTGATGACTTAAGGATAACTGATAAACTATCTTTTTTGAATTTTCTCTTAAAAACTCGATAAGCTTCTTTTAGGACTTCTTTAAACATTCCAGCTATATTTAAGTTTAGTTTTTTTGTTTCCTGAGATCCCTTAGCAAATTAAAGAAGCTAGAAACTCTTGAATTATAACATGTCTCCTAACTTATGACTCTCATTCTTTTGTTTTATTTCACCAACCTGATTGGGTGAAAAGTAAAATAAATTTTTAAATAAAGTTTTGGTTTACCTTGTTACTTATTTACTCACTTTATTCCAGTAAAGGGGGTCAAATAGTAATTACTAAGTTAGATTCATGCCTGTAAGACACATTCAGAAAATTTTTAAATTTGAATTTCAACTTATGTTAATCAACTTTAGCAGATATCATTTCTTCGTGAAGGTTCAAAATAAGCCCTTGAAACAGTGAAGAGAACAAAGTTAACTGGAATTGTGATTTTATCTGCAATCACTTTTAAGAACATAAAACCTGCAAAAATGTTCAAGAGAAAATGATGTACAGCTCTTTGTTGAAATACTTGGGTGTTTTAAAGTTGGAGCTAAGTGGGAAGAGGAAAGATTCTCAGATTCCTTTTGATTTGTAAAGTCTGCAAAAATAAAATTTGATTCCTGGTAATTCTTTCTGAGCTTGAAATGGCTTTGTATGTTTTTTAAAAATTTCTATTAACTTGACTGTCATCCACAAACATGACGTCTCTTCATATGAAGACTTTTCTTTTTGGGTGATAATCACTATCAATACCCATGTCACCTGCTAAAACCCTAGGTCCCCAAACTGCAATATGCCCCCTTCCCCATTTGTAACAAATCAATATGGCTAAACAAGATAGAGCCACACATTGACTTTGTATGAAAATTTGATTTCATTCTACATTTCTAGTCCATCACCTGTCTGCCAGGAAGTGGGAAACATAAGATGCCTCTTCAGTCTTTTAGAGTCATGGCTGGTACGTGTAATTTTTCCTCTGTTTTTGCTCACTTCTGTCTGTATTAGATTCTACAAGTTCTCTGAGGTTTTCCTGTGTCAGTCCCTTTTGTCATTCCTTAACCTTGTAAAAATATTCCATCACACTCCTAGGCCATAATTTATTTAGCCATTCCTCATATGATTGACATCGGTTTCTAGTTCTTCACTAAAACAAAATGTTGAATATATATTTGTGCCATTACTAACAATAATGGCTAACATTTATATAGTGCCTACTACATTCCAGGCACTGTACTAAGTGCTTTACAGATATCTCATTTGATCCTTACAACAACCCTCGGAGCAAGGTGCTGTCATTATCCCCATTTTATAAATGAAGAAACAAACAGGTACATGGCTTGCCCACAGTCACACAGCTAGTAAGTGTGAAATACTGCCAACTCAAAAAAGATGATTGTTACATTAGGATAAAAATTTGATGTAATTGACATGAATGGAGCCACAGAAACGAAAATAAATGACAGAATCCTGAATCTATGATATGGAATATTATATAACACTCAAAAGAAAAAGGCAAAGTTGCATCAGTTCCATATGATTTGCAATCAGCCACAAGGTATAGAAGTGTTAGTGATGAAAATGGAGTGTATTTTAGTTGTATGGAATGAAGATTACAATCATTCCTCTTAGTGAAACAGTCAATTAGACAAAAACTTTAAGGTAGTGAAATGAAATAGAAATGAATAGTGAAATTTTTACGGCAAGTATGATTTCTTTAAAAATTGAGTTTACTTGCATAATGTTGAAGTTATTGGAGCTGTGGCCAGGACAGATGAGGACAATATCCTGAAGTTTTGAAAAAAATAATCAGAGAAGGTGGAGACTAACACATTTTATTGTCAATGAAACAGACACTCTGGAAGAAGATGACTTCTAGAGTTTAAAGATCTAAGAAAACAGTCTAGATGTAAAGTGTCTATGGATTGCATAACAATTTTATTAGGAGGTAATACAGAAGCAGCTTTTAAATTAAAACCAAAACTTGTCAATCTCAAAATCCTCAAGCTGGGAGAGGATACAACTATCAATCACTTGCAATTCTTTGATTTTCAAATGAGAAATTATTGATGACTAAAACTCTTTTCAAAAACTGATTTTCAAGTTATTTTAGCCCAGGTACTGAAAAATATTTCAAGGACAATAGTATCAAGTTAAAAGTCTTTCAATCAAATATGGAAATATGTTTTACATGATTGTATATATGTAACCTATATCAAATCGCTTATTGTCTGAGGGAGGGAGAAAATTTGAAACTCAAATTTCTTTTAAATGACTGTTAAAAATTGCCTTCACATGTAATTGGGGGGAAAAGTACTATTGAAAAAGAAAAAGTCATTCAGTAAGTCAGTAAACATTTGTCAATTGCCTGTTATGTGCCAGACACTGCTACATTGCTGGAGATACAAAGAAAGGCAAAAGATAGTTCCTGCCTGTGGGGAGCACACAATTTAATAGGAAAGAAAACATGCAAATGACTATGTACAAACAAGGTATATACAGTGTAAATTAGAAATAATTTACAGAGAGGGGGCACTAAAATTAAGAGAAAGTAGGAAAGGCTTCCACCCTCTGGGGGAATTGAAGGAAGACAGAGAGGCCAGGAGACAAGACATAAAGAGGTAGAACATTCCATGTGTGAGGGACAGTCAGTGAAAATGCCCTAGCCACAGGGCAGCTAGGTGGCGCAGAGGATAGAGCACCGGCCCTGAAGTCAGGAGGACCTGAGTTCAAATCCAGCCTCAGACCAAACACTTGTCACTAGCTGTGTGACCCTGAGCAAGTCACTTACCCCCAATTGCCTAAAAAAAAAAAACCAAGAATATGCCCTAGCAGGAGATAAGTATACTGATTTTAGATAATGCCCTGGGTCATCCAACTACACTTGGTTCATTGTATAAAAGTGTGATCGTGCAAGTCCAACATGTGGATAAAGCTCTTTGTACCTATCAATATATGCATGAAGATTTATAGAAGGTGATGACAGTTCAGTCTGTGCTGCTAAAACAAATGATAATCATGATATTTTCGTCATAAGTGTAGGCTTGCCTTTAGGCACAATATTTAATATTTTTTACTGTTTAATTTTGCCTTCTTTACTCCATAACACTATAATAAATCAGAAATATATTTTCTTGTCCTTTACTATTATATTACATTAATAAACAGATAAAAATCATTTTGAAAGTTTTCATCATATGTCTCCATTGGTCTTGAATCAGTTACTATATTTTATATATAATTATATCTTCAGATGGGGCAAGTCATAATAATTCAGCCATTACACAGGATTCATTATTTATACTAATTAATACCTAGCTGTATATTTTTGTAAATATCCATTTCACTAGGCTATCACTTTTATTGGCAAATAATTTGGTAAAATGTTTTCTAATAATTCATTTCATTTCTTCATTGATTGTTAATTAAACTTTTTCATTTTTGATACTGATTTAGTTTCTTAAAATTCAAATTAGCTAATGTTTTTTTTTCAAACAAGCTCCTAATTTTATATATTAACTTTCATTAATGATTTCTTCAAATATGGTATCCATTTTTTTATTGCATTTTTCAGATGGAAGGATGTTTCTTTGTTTTTTTGGTTGGGCAATGGGGGATAAGTGGCTTGCCCAGGGTCACACAGCTAGTAAGTGTTATGTGTCTGAGGCTGGATTTGAACTCAGGTCCTCCTGACTCCAGGCCAGTGCTCTACCAACTGAGCCACCTAGCTGCGCCTAGGATGTTTCTTTGTTTATATTTGCTTGACCATTTTTCCAGGTCAATTTTTTTTAAATAGATAATATATTCTTCTATTTTGCAGCATTTGGATCTTATTTTCTTTTCTCTGTTTTGGTTTGTTTGTTTCGTAACGTCGTCGATTTCTTGGTCCATTCTGATTCTCAGGAATCCATTATTTGGTCTCCTGAAGATTTTGATCCTCCATTAGTAAACTGTTTATTCTACTTCTGGTTCTTCTAGAGCTCTTGTTTCATTTATAATATACTTTTTTTAAATCTTATTCTTCTAGAAAATCTAACAGAACTTGTGACCAAGCCATACCTTTACCTGAGGTTCAAATAGTGGTTATTGTGGAGTAACTTTTCCTCTAGCTTGTGTCTTTTGATTTTTCAAGTTTCTAGCTTTACTTCCTGAATTGATGCCTTTCATCAGAGCTATGCTCCTACTGCTCATGAATCCTTGAATCAGAGGGTTGGGCCCCTGATCTGTATTATTGGAGATCCTGCCCCTGGCCCTCACTTCCCACCGTGTGTGATAAACACAATGCTGTCGGTTCCCAAGCATATCTTGTCCCCTCTGGGTACAGAAGGCCATCAAGAATGACTCATGTCAGCTTACTGTAAATGTAGAGTCCCTAGAGCATACAGACTAAACTCTGCCTTCTGGTAGGATCTTTGTCACTTTGTGGCTCTTATTCTCATGTTTGGCACAGAGTTCTTAGGGTGCTTAATTGCCCAGAGATCTCACTAGAGCATGCTGGTATTTCAATTCCTGAATCTGGGGCATGCTTAATTGCCTTGAAGATTTTGAAGCTTTCAGAACTGGAAAAACTCCAACACACATTTGCTTTACTCCAGTTCCTCCTTAGTGCTTATAGGCTTCTAGGTTTGCCAACATAGACTAGATGAAAGTACTTACTGTGGTTTCTCTCTTTATTATTTATTATTCAGT